GAGGCGGCGGTTCTGAGGTGAGAATGCAGCTCCGATGCCCCAGTTGCAGTCAGGCAGTTGATTGGCATGTTGAATCATCACCATTGTACGTGTGTACGTATGTGTGTGTGTGTCAGTGTGTTCCCGTTACACATACCCCCCCCCCCACTCCCCGCTGCTGTCACATTGCATTACTGACTCAGTGGCACGGCATCATCACATCAAATTAGCCTTAATGAAGAGAAGCGAGCAGACTGAGGGGAGAGATAATCAAACTTTTATTAAATGACTTAATCTTCTGTACTTGCATTATGTAATGATAAGACAGAGAGACAGAGGGAGAAAGAGAGAGAGAGAGGGAGAGTATAGAGTCAGAGGTGGTGTGTTTTTGACAGGTTCAATTTTTATTCATGTGTTTGTGAAGCACAGTTCTCCTACGGCTGCATTAAAACCCAAGGATTATGCGCCACACGGTGCAGGAGCTCAGCGAGCAGCTCTTCAGTGAAATAAAAATGACTAAAATATAAAATAAATCACCTCTACCAAACAACTCCCTTCCATTAAGTAAACAAAAAAGCGTTTTTTATTTTTTTATTTTTTTACGATTCCTTCAATTCTTTTGGTTTTCTTTACACTAACACTCGCAGCCCACTCTGAACATCTTTGATGCCACAGGCGGCGCGGCGGCAAACTATCAAACCTAACAAACCTGTAAACAAGAACCAGAGAAATGTCCACCTGCTGCTGACAGTTTGATACTACACCAGGGTTTCACCCTACCACACAAGAATACTTTGAAGCTAGCACTAAAACACAAAAACAACATCAACTTAAACCATATTCTGCATGTGTCAACTTGATTCTAACGGAAAAAAAAAAAAAAATTCTGTGACGTCACGAGGGAGATTTAAAGCTGCAGTGGCCAACATTTGGAGATGAAATCAAATTTCTTACTACATTCAAAGCACTGTCGCCTGAATTCATGACCTCCTGGTGAAACCTGTACGTTTATATAGGATTTGTGGTCAAGTGTTAAACGTTTTTCCTCCCTGTGGTGAAACGAGGCAACAAAGAAACACAACAGTAACATCGCACTGACGTAGGGACTTCCAAAGTCGCAAAATGAGTTTCTTCTTCATAAATGACCTCATCGTAACAAGGGATATATATATATATATATTTGCGGACAACTCAAAGTAGTCCTGTCTACATAGCATTTAACGAAGGTAGCCAAGCTCTTACAGGCATCAAAATGTTTTCTCCAAGAATCCTTGACTTTCGGTCAGTCTATTCAGAAGAAGAACCCATAAAGATCCAGGACATGCATCTTGGTCCTCCGTCAGGCAGAAATGACACAAAAAGTTGTTTTTTTTTTCCAGCTCTTCAAAGAGACGTCAAGTAGTTCGTAATCAGATCTGTTCCCAAAGAGTGTAAAGACCAACGGACACTGACCAAACTTTTGGAGAATCATCAGCATATACACAACGCTGCTTTAAAAGCATGAACACTTTCTAAGAATCTGACACCAATGTCATCATCCATGAACCAGGTTTGATACATTTCATTATTCTAAAGGATCTGTTAAAAACCTAACATTTATTTTCAAGGCACTTCTCCCTCTTTAGCTAATGTAGCTTTAGCCTCAACTTTTAAATGATTTTAAAGAAACAACACATCGTCTGAATTGCTAAACCTTTGTTTTTCACCTGCAAAGATCTCATAGAACTGGGATATATACAAGAATGTACATTGAATATGTACATGTTGACAGACAGTACTATCAGCAGAACCTGGGTTTTAACAGTGAAGACTTGTGGTTATGATACTGAATATCTGACGTTTTACTTACTTCCAAAGTCTAAGGCAAACTCCTGTCGTAGAAAGCTTTTTCACGCGGTTTCCCTAGGAATACTACACCCATGAACATACTGGGCCGTACGCAGTAAACAAACCAACAACCAACTGGAGGCAAAGTAGGAGGGCCGTTTCAAACAACAACTGAGAGCTTTTTTGATTGTGATGGATCTTCCAAACGAAGCTCTCATTGGTCAATCAAAGCTGTCAATCACAAACTGCGTCAACTCTGCGAACCATCAAACACCAAGGAACACATTACTTTTTCTCGTTTCCACTACAGCAAATGAACAAGAACAACAGCAAACCTCAATCATGAGACTAACACCATGGAATACTCCGAAATATGTACAAAATACTTCATAAATGAGCAGATATCTAGTGTTTCCAATAGATTCAAATCAAAGGCTTTGTAGTGGTTCTTTGTTGGACTGGACTTCGAGTTGGCTCCCTCCATTTCTTATGGTGAGGTGAGTTGCACATTACATTTTTTAAGAGTTTGTGGATTTGCTGCAAATTTACCTCATTTGTACATACTTGTCTGAGTGAAGTATTAGTAAATGACAACACTGATGTATTTCATCACCTAAAATAAACTCTGCCAACATGAAAAGTCTGAGCGAACACAGAGACAGAACCAAACAGGTGAAACTAGGCTACCGTGGAAAACTTGACCCGAGGCGGAAGGTCAGCGAGGAAGATCTGGGTCTTTATTTTGTGCTGGTTCCGAGTCTTGGAGGGCGGTTCTTCCTGGTCAGCTGACCAACCACCTTCAGCAGAGTCTTGTTCTCCTGTTTCAGCTGCTCGTTCTCATCTTCAATGTCGTCCAGGTCCTGCAGCAGAGAAGAAGAAGAAAAACCTTCATCTGTAATGACATCCAGGTACTTGGTCAGGACGTCGACTTGGTCACCGAGTCCTTCCTGAACACAGAGCCAGTCGCTGACCTTTAGAGCCACTGTAACATCACAGTCTTCTTAGAAAAGAGAAGTAGAAATGACTTAGATGGAGGTTTATTTAATACATTAACTCCTGCTGTGACAATTACAACCAAACAGGATGAAGAGCTCCACCAACAACGGTCTTGAGTACTAATGATACAAACCAGGCCAATGAATGGTGCCTGGTTCTTATCTGCACAATTTTGTCATTTATGACACACACACAGTCCAAACATAAAGAGTCCAATATGTGGAGGATCCCAGTGCTGATAGCATCACACTCTCAGAAACCCGTTTATATGAGAGAACGAAGCCTGGTATTAGGACGGTGGATGTGTTGATAGCCATCATAAATATCTCTGAGAGAGACTTTAGCAAGGGCTGATGGGAAACTGAGAGATAGCAGCTGCTCACAGAGGCAGACGTGTACTGGTGATACTTTCTATCTAATACAGACAGAGTGGTAGAGTACACTGCTGGAATATCTCACTATTTCGCAAAAAATGAAAAGGACGGCCAGGTTACGACCTTGAAGTACACGATTTGACCCTTGTTATTTTTGAATTACTGACTTGGGATACTGCATTAACGCTTGACAAACACCTGGTACCAGCGTGTTTTTCAGTTTCAGCCGTCAATGACAGCATTTTGTGAAAGCACATTTCAAATACTTCAATTACTGCATTAATTTGTAAACAAGTATTTCTTAGTGGTTGGTTAACTGGTTAACCATCTCTATCAGCTATCACATTCCACTTTTTTGGCTCCTGTTTTTTTTTGTCTTCTGGCTGTTAATCAAACTGTAGGTACATTACTGCCACCTACAGGGCTGGAGGCTGTGCATTAATGTAACTATTAATGTGCTATCTATTAAAGTAAGAGACCTCATTTCAGCGTCAGCTCGACATCATTTGGGTTGCATTACTGCCACCTAGTTCCATTTCTCATTACCTAATAATTTTTGACAAACAGCATCTCAACTCCCAGCTCTTCGACCTTTACCTTGAAAACCTCACATCTGGGAATTCTGACGGCAAAGGTTTCAATCACTGGTGTGACAGAGCCGCCCTCTGTAGACCAGACATCACAGCAGGTCTTACTGTCATCGTCAACTAAGATAAATGACATGTAAAAATCATGCATAAAGGCTAAAATGCTTTTATCATTTTCTAAGCCATCTACTGGAGTAATGTGGGTATTGCAGGGAAAGGGCAGAAGTATAATGATAATATAAATAAATGATAGAATTTGTAAAAGTTAGTTACCTAGTTTGCCCATGCCTGGTCTAGACCTTCTAGTAGAACAACCCCTCACTGACGTGTGGAGGATAATGCACAAGAACAAATTGGTTGTTTTGTAGAATTTCACTGTTTACAAGCGAATTTAAGATAAAAGAAAAACTAAGAGTGGTTGTGATGAGAGGCGAAAACAACACAGGGAGTAAAGGATTGAATTTTCAGAAGCACAATGAAACATAAAAATGTCGAGCTGCCACAGTGCAATTTAGTTCCTTATTGATCTCTTTGTTTTGTTCTTCACAGTTATTTGTTCCAAACCCTGAGAGATGAGGAGCAGGACAGAACTGCAGCCTGGAGTGTCTGGGCTGCAGGAATTGAATTTAGACAGACAAAAAATTTCAAATAATATTTGTCCAATTACAGACCCATCTGCCAGACAGAAAATTTGTTTTTTTTCTTTTAGGAAAAAAAAAAATCAATACAACTGTAGTAAATGCCACCTATTGCACTGACCAATAACTTTTCAATCTTAAATGTCACTACATCACTGGTGACTGTTGAAAATGCGAGCTGCGGCCAACGCTTCTGAGCCAAACAAACACCGTGAACATGTACGGTGTGTAATTCCAGCCAAGTGAAGGCTTTTCCAGATCCTAATGAACTAAAGGGAAAATCACTGTAGTGAAACATGTAGTTATTAGACGCAACTTCAGTAAAATGCCATCTGATGATGTACAACCTCCCCACACCACACACACACAGGAAAAAAAACATCTGATATTTTCAGCCATGTCTTGTGTTTTTTTTTTCGTGTGTGTGAAAACAGAAAAACCAACCACCCACTCACTCTGTTCAGTAAGTCGATTTCCTCCTTCAGTTTCCCGATGAGGTCGTCTTTGTCCTGATGGGCCTTCATGAGCCGCGCGTTCTCCTGACGCTCTCTGGCCAGTTCCTGCACATGAACACAAACACTGTTTTATCTACGAGGTCACATCAGTGATGGAAAGGTCATTTGTTTCACTGCACTGAAGAGATAAACTCATCCTGTCTTTGGCCACTACAGCTGTGTCCACGGATCAAACTTTTATATATGTAAATATATATACACATATACACATATATACACATATACACACACATATATACACATATATACATATATACACATATATATATACATACACATATATACACACATATATATATATTTATTTATTTATTTATATATATATGTATATGTATATATATACATGTATATATATATATATAGTCAGTTCCATAGCGGTTAGCACGCCTGCCTTAGAAGCAGAGGTCAGAGAGTCCTGGGTTCGATTCCCACATGAACCACATGCTTGGCGCTTGCTAGGGGCAGCCTGTTAACAGCATATCTGCTGCTAACAAACATCATTAAACAAATATTTTGTATTTATATCTACATAAAGTATATACACATACAGTATATATATATATGCACATATACTGAATCATCTTGAAAGGCACCAAATGTACAAAACCGACCTGCATGACTACAAACTATTTCTTCCATTTCTCATAAAGAGCCATTGGGATTTACAGAGTTCTATTAGTTTGAAGACTTGTTTCATTCTCACCTTCAACCTTCACCAAGAAAAATAAACAAAGTAAAAAAAAAAAAAATCAACTCACAAAAACATATCTAACCCAGAAAGGCATCTTCCCACGGTGACAGCTAAGCGTTTTCTTTCTTTTAACAACTTCAAAAACTTCTTTCTTTTTGACACCTGAGTGACATTTGATTCAGAGCCGACTTTCTACAGCGACGGCAGTCAGAGGGCGAATGTGTGGAAGAAATGACATATCTGTGCCACAAAAGGTCATCGTCACTTCAACGGCACAGAGGAGAATTTCTAAGCTGCAACTTTTCTTTCTTTCCCAGAAGATCAAAACCCCGAGCTGTCCGTCAAAGGGAGAGAAGTGAAAATGCATCGGAAATAAGTGCTGCTGATGGATGGACGAGAGGCTTCAGTCTGGCCAAAAAAAATTCAATCGATGCCTGAAGACCGGAGGGCAACAAATTGTGGCGGCAGCAGAGTGCACAGATCAGGACTGGGCTTTTCTTACATCTGGCACAAAGAAGTAAATAACTTTTTTTATTTCTATTGTATTATATTTACTGCACTTCAATGTGTTGAAATGACCCCTACATCTAGAAAAGCATTCCCTAATATGTCACAAATATAGAAAAACACTGTTGGTGTTTTATTGGTCAAAGTGAAACGTCTCCATGACGCACCTTAAAGGACCCACGCGCTCTGACCTTTTCACAGCAGGGCGGCGATATAACCTGCCAGCATGGAGGTTCTCCTCAGTCTCAGAGCAGATGTCCACGTTTACTCACCATTAAACCAGAAAAGATAAATGAATGTGCTTTGAAGCCAGTATTTACCTGACCTTTACCTTCATGTACTGAACTGATCATAGAAGTCAATTACATGGATATAGTTTCAATGTATGTACAGTCAAATACTTCAATGTATTCCAGTTGCTGTGTGACGTTTAAAGAACAGAGTGTCTAAAAACGTCAGCAAACAGATCAGTGTTTAAGATGGAGATTCATGTGTCCAGAGGACGTACCTTCTCCAGCTCCTCCATCCTCTTCTCCAGGCTGCCCTGCACTGCAGCTCCTATGTCTCTGCCATGACGGTTTTGTCGTTGTCTGCTGTTTCCACAAACCTCCTCCTCTGCAGAGCTGTTCAAGAAAGAGAATAAAACACACACAGAAAAACCATGAACGCGGCTATACAGGAGACCACAAGGTGGCAGAAGTGGTTAGTACCTTCAGTATGTCACAAGGACACAAGTGGTTGAAACTTTGCTGAACATAAAATGGACACCAATGTAACAAAAATCTGTCTCTGGTTACCAACAATTTTATTTTCCAACTGGTGTTGTTTCAATAATCTGACGTAGCCGTTCAGAGAACAGTGACGGTTTGTCTGCAGTCTCTGTAACAGTGGGAACAAACTGTTCCCAGGAATCAGACGGGGCTTCAGTGGATGTCGGAGGCTTTCAGCATTTTCCAAGCAGACAGAAAAGACGGCTCTGGCAGGACAAAGGACAGACAGAACTCTCCGGTACCATCTGCAGACCTCTCCATCAGCCAAAGATGAGGATGATCCCATTATTAGACATGGGACGGGCAGCACCACTGAGAACATGTCGCAACGCAGGAAACTGACTGAAGAATGGCAACAACGCCACAGAGAGAAAACGCCACAGCAAACAAACGGACGCTGGCCCTTTAAATTATTCAATGGGATTAACTGCAGGGTAGATGGTGATTAATGGTGATTAAATATGATTAATCGAAATAAACTGACACACACAAACACCTATGTATATATAGTGTATATATACATAAACATATATTTTTTTCAATAAAATATAATATATAAAATCCTGATTATAAATATATTATGTTTATTATTTGTAAAGAAAAATATTTATGAAACTTGAATATTTTGAATAAATGTTTTCATAATTTACACACGTGGTCATAAATTACTGGATGTCCTGAGAAGATTTAAGGAACAGTCTGGTCTGGAAACATTTACAAAAAACAAAACTGAATGCATGACGTGTGATGTCACAGTCAGTCACACGGTGGATTAACTGCTGGAATTCCACATAAGAGTTTTGTCAGCCAACGGTTTAAAGGAGGTTTTTGTGGAAAATGAAGGTGAACCGTGTGTGTGTGTGTGTGTGTGTGGTGAACCATGTGTGTGTGTGTGTGTGTACAAGCCCAAGAAAGGTTTATATCTTGTTTACAACTACGGACAAAGACAGTCGTCCCATGAACCATTTGGGTTCATCCAGAGAACTAAAACAGATAAATACCAACACGTTCCGAGGAACGAAGCTGCCATGAACTTTCTGAGTTTTATCTTCCAGGCTCCACAGCCGTTTAGATCCGGCTCTCAAACACACACACAGATAAGCTGCAATTTTTCTCTACCCTGACATTTACAGAAACCACAGCTTTATTTCCCTCTCATTCACACTGAGGAAAACACAGTAGTGGACGTTGCTTTTCATCAAGCTGCGATGCTTGAAAAACGCCCTCCTCTGACTTCACCCACACTGGGACAAAGTGCGTTTCATTTGTCTCTCTCTCAGTGTAGCTCCACGAGGTGTTATATAAGGGGAGGGACACACACACACACACACACACACACACAGACCTATACAAACAACATGTGTGTTGTGTTCACTTTTCATGGATATTCTATTTCCCGCCCCTCACTCTGACCTTAACTGTTACAAATGTGGCTGACATCACGTTTTACCCTAACTACGAACAGGTGAGAACCTACGAATACTGTCTTTTTAATGACATTTATTAGGGAAAAAAAAACATTCCCCACAAGTGTAGCTGTACAAGGAGGGGAAAAAAGATTCCCCACAAGTGTAGCTGTACAAGGAACACACACCCAAAGGTCTGTAACCTTAACAAACTTTTGGCTATTATTAAAATCCTTACTCTCATTCTAACCCTGAGCCTAATATTAATCAACAATAATTTGTCATTATCATTCATGAATATAATGTAACTAAAAACGATAGCCTTACATACTCTCACACCCACAACAATGTTTTTTCCAAAACACACAGAACATAATGCATTCCTTTTGCCCAGCCCTACATGTCAGTCTGTAAAAGCCTCACTTGACTATTTCATCCTCAAACAGCAGCAAAAACAGAGCAGGATGGGTGGATGGATGGATGGATGGATGGATGGGTGGATGGGTGGATGGATGGATGGATGGATGGATGCAGGTTAGTCATCGGCTCAGCTCCAGTACAGGAGCCATCATTTCACCCACACATACACAGCAGCAGTCAGCAGGTGATAAGTGCTGGTATAAGTATATATAGCCTTGATGCTAAATGTCACACTGAGTCACATGAACCACCTGCAGGAGTCAAACACACAACCTCACAGGCTTCAGCTGAGGTGGAGGAAACACAGTAGAACATACAACTGGGTTTCTGACAAACTCAAGAAGAAATGAGGAAATTGTATTTTTATTATTTTGTTTTTTGTTTTTTTTATAAAAAAAGATAAAATTGCAATGGACGGCCCTACAATCATGAACGCAGCCCAAAATCATTACAGAGCCTCCGTCATGCTAAAGATGAAGATGATGACCACAAAAAGGTGTTGACGCATTGATGAAGATGACCACAAAAAGGTGTTGACGCATTTCTCATAATAAAAACCCATCCAATTTACACAATTGTTTTTTAACGCAACCCACTACCAAATTTAAATGTTTAAAATATTTTTCGTATCTTAGTAATGATTGACCTCCAGTTTTGTTTGCGAAATCAACACCAGATTAAAGATCCTAATAAAAATTAAAGATTAAAATTACTATTCTTGACTGAACTTTGCAGTGAAACTTTGTGGAAAAACGAAGCGGATGATGAAAAAAAGACAGAAAGTCTGTGGTAGAAAAACCACCTGCGTCTGGTTTCTCTCCCGGTCACCTCCTGCTCACCGGCCCACCTGCTGGGTTATATGCTGAAGAACTCTGGATTCTGAGAGTGTGTCCGGTCCAGCTGACGACAGCAGCAGTCATAATTACACGGCCAGGCTGAATGTCAGCTGCTGCCTTTGGCCACAACTCCGCAATTTGAATGGAAAAAAAAAAATTTAATTCACGCTGAACAAGTACAGAGACTCTCTGGGGATGTGAGCGTCAGGCTGCATTTTCAGAGATAATAAATCCTGAATATATTAATTTATGACTCATCATATTTAATTAGAAGCTGCCGAGACAAAAACGAAACCTTGTAAAGAAGAGGAGTAAAAGCAAAAAACAAATTCAAAAGAAAATGAAAAAGGTCACCATCAGACCATGATTAGATTTTTTGTCAACTTAATGTGAATTATACGTGTAATGTTTATACACAACTACGTTCATTTTTAAACTCAAAACACGGTAGGTGTGGAATTGGAAATAGGTGTGTTTTAAGCCTTAACAAAGTATCTTAACCACAGTGTGTGTAAATGACAACATGGATACCAACTATGTACCAGGGCAACAATAAAGAGGTTTAATGTTTTAACCATCCATTAATATTATATAATTCAATTTTGTAAGCTCTAAATATTTTATTGCCATCATTTTTTCTCACTAAACCAGGTCTTTTTGGTCTTTAGAAAAGAACAGTTTATTTTTCTAGTGTGAAGTGTTGAGGCTCCAGATGGCTTCCTGTCAACTGCTGTTCAAATCTGTCACCAACATCATCTGTCCTGAACTGTATCAGGACAGATGAAGAGCCGGAGAAAAAGTGAAATGAATAGAGCAGGAGAATTCTTAAAAAGATGCTTCAGGATAAATTTAAGAAAAATCTGCTTCCGTGGTTAATGACTCAAGCGGCCGTTCTGGTTCCTGC